GGATTTTTTTAATTACTACTTCTACCTCTCTCTCTCTCTCTCTCTCTCTCTGACTCTCCCTCTCGGGATCACCGTTAAGCACGACACACTGTTAACCGCAGCGCGAATTAAGGTACGGTCACTTAAAAGCAAACCCGTAAACCGACGCCCACGCAGTGGGTACCTGTTATATACGCACTTACGTGCGTTCAGGGGCGGATCGAAGAACGGAATCGAACAACGGAATTGAAAAGCGATCCAAGTTCTATTTTCGCGATTGCTGAATCTCTTGCTGGAATTTTTTAATTCCTTTTACTTATGCACTTACGTGTTGTGACGAGAAATACGTAAAATGGTTGTCTAAATTTAAAAAAAATTCCCGACACGTAAGTACCAACGTAAAAAAGGAAACTTAATTTCATCTATATCGTCCACTTAACGCTTTCATAATTTCTTAACTCGCATATAAGAGAGGAAACGTACAAAAAATTGAGACATGTTGCATCAGTGAGATTAAATGCCATCCTTTAATCTGTAAATTTAATCTGTAAAGTACATATATGTTACATGTATTATTTTTATTAAAATGTATCAAAGGTAATTCTTGATTTATGAAGCTATTTTATCGTTATGAATAAATTAATAATGCTTTCTCTCTCTCTCTCTCTCTCTCTCTCTCTCTCGGTTTTTATAAAAGATCGTTCTGTAAACGTAAGTCTTCGCACAGTCGAAGCGGTGCGGTCCTGGATGTACAAGTACAGGGTGGCCAGACAGAAAAATCCGAAAGGCTCTCTTATACCGATGAGTGCCACGAATAAGGGCCACATAAAGACGGGTCATAAAACTATGATTTACGTCTTGTCATTGATGCGTTTGCTGTCCGTCCGTCGGTCAGTCCACTCATGAGCCCGTCTATCCATTCGTTCATCGTGCGTTCGTCTATACGCACCCATGAGCCCTCCCTCCCTTTCTCCTTCGGTTCATCATCGTCTCTCTTCGTTCCCTCTTATTATCTTTCTTATAGCCCTCCCTTCTTGTTCTTCTTCTATTTCTTCTTCTTCTGCTTCGTCCTCCTCTTCTCTACCGGTTTCGCCGGATAGCCCCATCGGGCCGGCGATGATCGATTCGTCGCTTGGAAAAAGTAGCGTGTCGTTATCATCGCAACTATTATAATCCACTGTGAAATATTGCGTGCGATAGGCGCACGGCGACGAGCGGTTCGACGAAAGCGAAAATTACATCGTATAAGCAAGTATCCTGCGAGTTCCCGTCATATCCCATCTGATCTCATTGGATAATTAAACATTATTTGTATCTCAAAAGAGTTTTGTTATCTGTATCATGTTACAGTTGTCAATTAAAATTCTAAACTCTTTTAATTGTCACAGAAGATTACAGAAATGTGTAATGTAAAAGACTTTGACCTAAACAACAAAAAATTTATATCTGTGTGCTATCTGGAAATGTTGAAATTTTGATGAAAAATGGAGAAAGTAGGTATGTCGTGCAAAAATCTCAACGTCTTGAATTTATGACTTGATTGCAATTTTGCGTTAGCTTACCGCGGCAAATGCGATCTTATAAACCTTGCGCGGTTCTTTGTATTTCTTCATGCATTCCTGCTCGAAACATAAGTTATGTATACATGTGTGCAGTATGGTCAGTAGGTTATTTAAAGTTTTTCCCCCCCCCCCCCCCCTCCGACAAGAGGGTTACGTTTAATGGCGTCTGCGGTTTCCCATCAAACTTCTCCTCATAGCACCTGACATCTCACACTTATATCCCCCAGAATTCCATCATTTCTCATTTGTTTTGTGGAATCCTTTTACCCTGATTTTCTTTCTTGCTTTTACATAAAGAAACGCTCTTAAAATAATCTTCATCATCCTCCCAAAGGATCTCTGAAATAATTTCCTTACACCATCATTACTTATGTAAATGCTTTTTGTAATGCATAAAAATAATATTTGTGTTTTTATTATACGAAATGACAAACAATGCCAAATGAGTGTTACGTATGCAATTTAAAAAAACAATGCGAGATTGTTTTTTCGATAGTTAAGTATATTAAAGTGAAAAAATAATAAAATTTTACTTTTTATTTTATTTTAACTATATTTTATTATAACATTAATTTCATCTTTAATATTAACAAAAATATCAAATATACCAAAGTTAAAAATGGAATAAATAATCAAATTTTCCTTTTATTTTCAACTATATTTTAGTATAATGCGAACTTAATTTTTATATTAACAAGACTGTCGATCGATGAAATTTTTATCGGAAAGCGAAACTTATTGTTAGAAATGTCTGAGGAGAGGAAGAAATAGAGCGATTTTGCGGACACCCTGTGTACACCGGTGCATCATAAAGTTTCCATGTTACTCCATTACCGAAGATGACGCAAGTACTACGTCTTAATCGCGGGATTACACGGCTTGCAGTGCGAAAGCTCTGTGCAGGACAACGCAAACACGAATATTACGAAATAAAAGTCTGCTGTAGCAGCAGCGGCAGCGGTGACTCTCGTCGTGTTGAAAACTTTCAAGTGAAAGCGATCACGCGCGCGCCGCTTGTTAAGACGTCAGTTATCATCGGCTGTAGGTGATTAATCCGACAGGTTGGAGGCGGAATTATAAAACGGCAAAACGCGCGTTATCGCGCGGCTACGGCAACAGCGGCGGCGTACGTAAATGTACGAGATAAAGACGAATATACGTTTGGCCTGCTCGTCCACTTGGCGACGATACATATATCATGGCACGTACGGGATTCCCATCACCACGTTGTTTTGCCAGACACTTTTAATATAAAAATTGCTTGCAAACTTCTACGAATTGATAGTTTTCCATTATTTTATCTATTTTGACAAGTTTCGAAAGCGATAATGGAATCATAAAAAAATGTATTTCCACAAATTGATTACATACCTTTTTAGCACTCTGTCTATTTCGACAAGGTTTCAATGATGTGATGGTGTAAATGGTATATCCTTTTTTAATATGTGTGATGAGGAAGGACAGAAGTCCATTTATCAGAAGCTCGTTCATAGAAATCTTTCCGAGTGCCGTACGATGACTCAAAGGGGTATCCCGAGATTATCAAACATCATTTCATCTTATCTTTTGAGTTTGCGAATTGTAGATGTTCAGATTGCGAGAACTCTCGGTTCTACAGTTTAAAAGCGCTAAAGCGGCAAACGATGCAACGAGATAAATGCAAAGTCAGAAGTTAATTAATTAATATAAACGCTTGTCATGATAGTAAACGCGGCTTGAAAATACGTAGCAGGAATCACAGGATGCCTGGAAGGTGGAAAAAGTTTCCCTCTTGCAATGTTGCTTCATAACTACATATATCCATGGTCGGATCAAGGCACTTTAAGAAAGCCTGTGTAGGGTAGGGGTTCTCAAAGAATAGTAGACTTTACATCTTATAATTTTATTATTCAATATTACAAAGCTTTCTTAGACTAAACCGTGCTGCTTTATAAATCGTTGCTTTTGTAATAAATGATCGCACGCATTTCTTTTTCATTCAAATATCAGGATATAACTATAATTGATATGCACATACGTTAACTTTGCAGACTTAAAGACAAGATTAATTCTCTCAGGGTATATTTTTATTATTCTCAGCGTAAAAGCACCGAGAGAATTACTTGGTGTACGGGGGCCCGGCCCTGCACGCGTACGTCGAGTCGCGACGCGAAGGTGAGCGCGCGGTTAATTTGCATAATCAATTCAAAACGATGAGTCTCGCGCCTCGAACGGATCGGTCATTCTTTTCCCGACGGCCCCCGGTATGGAAGAAAAGCCATTCCTGGCGTTATATAAATTACGGTCGTCTCACCCAAGAGAGCTGCGCGCTCTTACGATTGTTGGAACGGCGCGGGCGGCGCGGGCGGCGACGCGGCGACGCGCGGCCGAGTAGCAACCGGGGCTCTCGAGTTTCGCCATATAGGTGGTAGTAGCTTCACTTCGATTTGGATCTCTGATTGCGCATCGTGAAGCCGACGTGTGTCAAAAATAAAAAAGAGAGTGAAGAAGGAAAAACCGTGCATGTTTTTTTTCCACACATCGTCAGGCATAAAATCTTTTACGAGCGTTAAAAATCGCCGTAGCACAGCGTCCCGGCGCCATTTCTTTATTTCCATTGCGGTAATTTCGTCCTCTCTTTATTTACCGTTATACCCCTCGCTGTAGTCATAAACAAGCGAATCCTTCGCCGTTTTAATTTCTTCTTCGTCTTCTCCGACGAAAACGCCTTCACTCTTCTCCTATACGGCCCGCCCTCTTACACGCCCGTCGTCTCTTCGTTCTCGCATCGTCCCGTTGTCATCCTCGTCATCGGATTTGTCGCGTATGTAGCGTTTTATGGCACTTTAACGCTTGTTAACAAATCCACGTTGTTTTGCCAGACACTTTTAATATAAAAATTGCTTGCAAACTTCTACGAATTGATAGTTTTCCATTATTTTATCTATTTTGACAAGTTTCGAAAGCGATAATGGAATCATAAAAAAATGTATTTCCACAAATTGATTACATACCTTTTTAGCACTCTGTCTATTTCGACAAGGTTTCAATGATGTGATGGTGTAAATGGTATATCCTTTTTTAATATTTGTTAATCAAACATACCATTTCAGTAAAATTAAACAACAATAAATGACCGCATATGAATGTACAATTAAGTAATGAGAAGGTCATATCGATCTAACGATAGTGCTTAAATAATATTTCGGTGTAAATTTATATTTATATGCAGTTCGGTAAATTGGGCTCGAAATAATTTTTGGTCTTGAAACGCAATCTTAAACTGAAACTGGGGTAATAATATACAAATTAAATTGACAAGCAATTTAACGACATTGATGTTAATAAGCATGTTAAGCTGTAAATAATTTATTACGAAAATGTCCAATAAAATTAGCCATCATGATTATATGCTACGTTTTATTTTTTCCGATGGGAATATTATTAATGACCGATCGGGTGATATTTTTCCTGTCGTAGATGTGAGCTGCTGAAGGTGGGATTCTCAGGAACCGCGAGGTCCTCGCAATGGAGGCGGGACCAAAACAGCAGCAGCAGCCGCCGCAACAACAGCAACAGCAGCAGCAGCAGCAGCAGCAGTCGCCTCAGCAACAACAGCAGCAACAGCAACAGCAGCAACAGCAGCAACAGAATTCACCCAGCAGCATTCAGTCAGCTCAGAGCCAGGCAGTCGTCGGTTCTCAAGGTGGAGCAACACAGGGTCAAGGTCAACAGCAGCAGAATGCGGAGGACGCGCTCGCGGCGGCGGAGAACACCCCCGTCAGTGAGGGTGTGCTCCTCGCTCGGATCCACGTGCCCGAGCTGTACGTCAGCAAGTGTCTGCAGTTCCCGAAGGATCAGCTGGTCTGGGACGTGAAGCAGCAATGTCTTGCGTCCTTGCCCAAGGTATGAATGATGTTTTGACGTAGGTAGGAGAGAGGAGTTCTCATGTATATTCCTAGATATCCCGAGGGAAAACCTTGAAAACAGCCTGCGGAGCTGGAGTTATATATCGATGTTCTTAACGACGATCGAACGATTCACTCCCGGACTAAAATTTATCTCCCAGCTTCTCGATAGCGCAAGATGGACGGACGGACGGACGGATGGACGGGCGGACGGACAGGCAGGCAGGCAGGCAGGTTGCGCGGTGGAAGATGAAGGGGAGAAATTGAAAACGGAACGCATTATTCTCTTTCGCGGCAATAAATCCCGCGCGCGTACCTCTCCCGCGTGTTATTTCTGGCCGGACGATCCTTACGTCGGAAATTTATGAAGCCCGTGGCGGATTCTTGTTTTGCCGTCTCCATCGGACGTGCACGAGAGAGCGCGCGCGCGCGCGTTTGCTTGCTTGCTTGCTTACTTACTTACTTACTTACTTACTTACTTTCTTACTTACTTGCGCCGAGTCCTTCGTACGATAATTACACGTATTTCGTTGAGAAATTCCCCCGCGATCGAAAGCGCTGGTAATATAATTCGTAGCCCCGATTTAGCGCGAGTTGGTGCGTGTGAGAGACGGACGGCGCGGCGCAGCGCAGGGAAAAGGACAGAAGCGGAGTGGTATTCGCCCCTCTCTTTACCCTCTCGTTCTCGTGCGTGTACATACGACGTGTACGTATAGTGCCGGTCGCATTTTGTTGAGAAATTCACCCGCGATCTCTCTCTCTCTCTCTCTCTCTCTCTCTCTGAAGAGCGTATAGTATAATATAATTCGTACCTGTGCCACCCGAGGCGATTTGTTCCCGCTGGAAATTGCGGTCGCGTGTATATTTCACCGAGGATCGCCGAGTATCGATTAATCGCCGATTACGGTCGAACCCCATCGGATCTGTCATTTATCACCGTGTATCCGCTTCTCGCGCGCGCGTACCGCC